CTCTCTACTCAATACATTAGGCAAACTCCTAGAAGCAACAATTATAAGAAGAATGTCATACTATATAGAGTGCTATAACCTTCTCCCAAGTATGCAGTTTGGAGGCAGGCCTGGGCGATCCACTGAACAAGCACTCCTTATCCTAGTTAACGCAATATGGAAAGCATGGAGACAGAGTAAGGTAGTGACACTGTTAGCCCTTAACGTTAAAGGCGCCTTCAACGGCGTCAATTGCCTAGTTATGAACCAAATACTCTGCAAAATAGGGATACCAGCAGTAGCATGATGGTGGATAGACAGCTTCATAAAAGACAGATGGGCAAGCTTCAGATTGACGGCTACTGCTCAGACAAGAACTTACTGGCCTACCCGGGATTACCACAGGGGTCCCCGATCTCACCTATTCTATACACAATCTACAACCAGAAGCTAGTAGACCAAACTGTAGACGATACAGGTGGTGCATCGGCATTTATTAATGATTACTTCCGCTGGCACTGCGGACCTAGCGCTGAAGAAAATACCTGAAAACTCCAAGTAGAAGATATTCCTAGGATCAATAAATGGGCTAATCAGACTGGGTCAACCTTTGAAGTTGGGAAAACGGAGTTGATACACTTTACTTGTTCCTGAAACAAGCAAACAACTAGCTCGATTGTCATGAATGGCTAGGAGATCTCCCCCTCTAGCAATGTGAAGCTCCTAGGAGTAATCTTCAACTCAGAGCTCAGATGGCGAGCCCACACATAAATAGTATCTAAGTGAGCAACCAACACGTGTATAGGAATAAGCCGACTTCGTCACCTAAGACCAAAACAAATGCGGCAGCTATACCAGACATGCGTGTTACCTAAACTTGACTACGCCTCAACAGTATAGTATAGATAAGGAAGAGTATAGCAGACGACAGTGCTCCGGAAGATCCAACGCATAGCGGCGATCAAATCCATCTCAGTGTTCCACACAGTTTCCACTGATGCGCTCGAGATCGAATCAAACCTTCTCCCAACACACCTTAGACTCAGATAAAGGGCGTTAAATGTCCTAGGCAAACTTAAGATACTGCCCACTAACTACCTAATCTGGCCGCTTGTCCATCCGACCGCGCCAGCCCCAACCCGCAGTATAATGCAAAGCCCACTTATGCTTATAATAGCTACAGTGACAGAGAATAGGCTGTTTCAGAAACTTGAAATTATCAACCTAGCACCACCCCCTCCATGGCGACGAACACCATTTGCAATAATAAAAACAACACGCAGTAGAGAAGAAGCTAAAATGATGACTATATCGCTGGTCTTAGCTGATCCTGATTCAGTAATATTTATAGATGGCTTAGGAAAAGATGGGGAAATCGGCGCAGTAGCAATTACACTAGGACCTAAGTAAAATATCAAGTATAAGGTTTGCGTCAGTGTAGGCTTGAAAAGCAGATGGAATGTTTTTGCTGCTGAACTGATTACAATATTCTTCGCACTACATATGATCTGCAGGGACTACAGTTGGAATTCAGCCACACAGAAGCCAACACGAAACTATTACACTATCCTAAGTGACTCTAAGGCGGCACTACAAGCAATAGCTAACCTATAGGCGTGGATGGCGCAGCATATCACTTAAAGGATTAATATAGAAGCTGAATGCCTTAGCAAGGGATGCGGCATCGATATACACCTTGCCTGGATCCCAGGGCATGAGGGCATCCAGGGAAATGAGCTCGCGGACCAGGAAGCCAAGGAAGCTGTGGAAAGGCTACTAGAACACCACTTCGCCCCGCTCCTCTCCGCACAGAAGAAGCTGGCCAAAGATCTGATATAACGGCAATAGAGAGAAGAATGGAAAAGCTCGCCAAAGGGCGAATATCTCCGCAAAATTGACCCTTCCTTACCGGGAAAACACATGCGCAAGCTCTATGACACGAAAACGCGCCCTCAAGCAAACCTACTAGCTCAACTACATACAGGCCACTTATAGCTAAAGAGCTATAGGAAGAGGTATAGCAAAACCTAGGATGATAACTGCGAATGTGGAGCGAGAGAGACACTGGCATATGTATTTCTTGACTGTCCTACTCTATAAGGACTACGACAACGACTGCGGAGGCGGATAGGACCCTGTCTTAACAGCCTATCGTCTTTGATTTCGGAAGATCTAGCAGATGGAGAGCTACATGCTATACTTGAATTTGCTGAAAAGTCTGGCAGGTTCCGCAATAGAGACCTTTGATACTAAAACTAGGTTATGTTTATGCTATAAATAGGGTGAGAGACGAGGTTACTATAAAGAGACAACTCTAAGCAGGAACAAAACTTCAGGAAATAGAACCGTAAAGAGGAATGTAAATAGATCACACAACTCATATGTAGCCTGCATATCCTTACTAGGATGGGTCAGGGTAAATGAAAAATCAAATCAAATCAAATCAAATCAACTGAGGCCACATTATCCTCCGCCGGGCATAGCTACGCTACAAAAGAAGTGGCTGAAACCGTGTAGGATTAATCAAATCAAATCAATCAATGGTAAATGCAGAGGCGCTCATTGAGTCTTGGCATGAGCGGGATGAGCAGTATTTTCCTGTTTATAAAAACACTGGTTTTTCCTCTCCTTCGACAGATTGTATTTTAACTGTCTAAGTTACATCAAATTCGTCATTTTAAGCTACCTACCTGCTTTAACGATAGGATCAGTTTTAAAGCAAATTGACTTAAGACACACTAGTGGAGATCAGGCGTATGTGTATATTACAATAAAGGTGGCTTCAATGAAGCATGTGCAGCTTGGCTAGGGAGCGAAGCTTCACCCCCCTCTGGCGATAAGATTTAGGAAAAGACCCAAATTCTAGCGCAAAAATAAGTGACTTAAACCATCTCTACGATGGCTTCAAATGGATGTCCCATCCCGACAATCCACTGCGCTGAAGATATCGCGCTAGTTCACCTCTTACAGCCAGTGATCAGCCCGCCATTTGACAACCCAACAAGCTATGCCCTCGTCCAACGCAATGGCTATACGCTTTCTTTTGACAGAGAACAAAAGTTAGCAAGCACACTCGCGTTCCTCTCTAGCACAAAAGATGACCCCAATCACGTCCCTGCGCTTTGCGTTGCAGAGAACACAGAATCAGAATCACTCAAAATTCTGCTTGCTGTGAACAAAATCAACGCGGAGGATGGCAACCAAACTCTTGAGAGCCTAGGGAGGCAGTTCAAAGAAATATTTGTAGAATTATCCCGGCTTCAAGATAACAATTCGACAATTCAAAAGAATGTCTTCACCGCCATCATCGCTATATGTCATGATCGCATCCTTTGCCGCCTGGGATTCATTGCGACCAGTCGGAATATAGCAAGGCCGTCGATCAAGACTATCCTCCAGGACACTGTCCACTCTTTGAACCTGCTTAAGACCCAAAAACTCAAGCCACATATCCCGTTCTCCAGGGTTTTTGTCCAGAAAGCAAAGGAAGTGATACAGATGGCTGATAAGTGGGATAAGCATCAGACCACGGCCCGACTTGAGGACCTAGTAGCATGCATCCATCAACTCAGCCGAATTGAAGACATCCAGTCGATCCTCGCTGCAATACCTAGTACCTACATGAACCCGAACTTGACGAGGCGCCTCCTTAACATCATTACTAAAGTGAGCAGATACAAAGAAGCTTCGAGATTCCTTTACCGCACGGCGAAGAGATATCCGCGGGCAAGGCATATGCGGCCAGTTATCGTTGTCTTGCCCACTGAGGCTTTCGAAAGGTCTGATGTGAGCCAATATGATCCCAAGCTGCTAGACACATTATCGCGGTTTCGTGGACGGCATGCTCAGCGGGATCTTCAGCAGGTTTGCAGTTTGTTGAAGATCAAACAACAGGATGCGAAGAATCAGTTCGCGCAACGAGCGAAGCAAACGGTAACGGAAGCGAAAATCCACGCTGAAATCCAACTTCTCTACTACTGCGAGATTGTGCCCTCAACTCTACCGCCTCGGGTCGTCTGCTCCAGCAAAGATGCTTGCTATCTATGCAACTACTTCATCCTCATGCATCAAAAAATGCACACACCCCGATGTCATGGCAAGATCTACACTGGGTGGAGGCTGCCTGTCCTACCCGCTCTCCAAGATCTCGAGAAGAGATTTAATATCATGCTGGATAGTTTGGTAGAAACCAATCTCGACAATATTCTCATCAAGCGGAAGAAGATCACGTATCCCGATCCGAATGAGAGCACTCTTCTATCTCTGGCTCCATCAATATTTACCGCGAGCATTATAGCGAGACCTCCTGAGATGGAGACATCAATAACGCCAACTCTGGTCATCGAAGATGCTAGAGCAGAGAATAGTTGCCTTCAGCCAAGCCCTCAACAAGGAACTATTCTACCAGAGGGCTCTGCGGCACCAGGAACCATCACCGTATGTTCGCATATATCTCTTCTCTCGCGGTCGTGCTCCGGTTCGTCGGTCTTCGGCGCTGCATCGACATCAACAGCAAGTTTAGATAATCACCACACCAAGCTAGCTCAAGGGCATCTGGTGCCTGGGAGAACCAAAACTGGTGCCCTTCCACGTTTCTACTCCGCGCGTCCTCTAGAGCTCATCATTGAGCACTTTGCAAAGCCAGCTGAAGAAGAGCCTGGTGAACCTTTCAATAAGGTATCTTACGGGATAGAGTGGCTCGACAGCAATGAATCAATGAGTCAATTAGAAGCGCTCTCAATTATTGATGCAGAGTCTCTAGAAGGTGACGTTACCTACGAAGTAGAGCGATACTTTTTAATCGCTGGCTGGGGTTCGATAGTGAAAGTTTCCATATTTTAAGTTATCCGTGATTGGCTATAACAGGAACGTGTTGACACTCCTGATTGTTGGTACGTAAAGAGGACTGAGCCGCCTAAAATAGATTCATTGTGGGTTAAACTCAAATGAGAAAGCCGAGGTCAGCAACGAATGCCGGCGAAGTTCGCTGTGGTTGGCTTTCTGAGTTGATGTATGATCGTTAAAAGATAGATTTCGAGCCAGAAATTTTCTTGCAGCAAAAGTTTGTTTTACAGACCACTACAGGCTACATACTAACCCCTCGATAGATGTGCTATGACGTTGTTGCTCGGTTCCGTTGCGCGCCTGCACACGAGCGCCGCGGCGAGGACCCTCTCCGCTTCAAACATCACACAAGATGTCAAACAGTTGTACAGTCCGGGGGGGCTCTTTGCCCTCCTGCACAAAGAATTCGTGAGCATGTTCTTCAGGAGGATGACGATGACCAGAGCTGTCCAGAGTGCCGAGGAGAAACACCACCAGAGACTCCATGATATCCACACAGCCATGGAGGCATGATACCATCCAGCTGTATGCAAGCATAAATAATGGTTTTAAGTTGTCTCTTCCTCTCCTTTGTTTGATATTTGAGATACTCTCAGCGTGTCTGCCATGTCCTGCTCTTGCCTCCCTCCCCAGTAATATGTTGTACAGTACTCCTTTGCCGTCTTGACGTATTGGTTTCTAGGAATAAAGATCCTGTGTAATAGACTAAGTTGCAAATTTCTCTCATGCCTGTAAAGCACTTACAACTCGTTGTTGTGCCGACTGACGGAGTAAACGCTGTGTGGAAGCTTCAATACTTGCTCCTTGTCAAGACGTCTGTTGACGTTGAGGTCGCATATGAACCATCGTCGCACCGGCTTCTCCATGTCAAAGTTAGGTGGTAGATGCATAAAATCATAGCCTGTTGCTCGGATTTGGTTGTTGAAGTTGCGTTTCAGGATTTGCTTGCAGTACGCATTCCCAAGGACATTGTGTCGATTCTGAGGAGAGCCAGGTAGATCAGTGACGCAAACTTGGAGAATCACACGATGCGAGTCTTTACTTGTATCCATAGACGCAATTTCAATCAAAACCAAGCAGGTGTATCAAGCGCAAGATAATGTCTCGCGAGAGTTGCATTGAATGAGAAGCAAGATGGTGGGTACAGCATCTAGCATCATCCGGTGTCATCATTGGTTCACGTGACGTCGCAATTATCCGCTAACTTAAACTTAATTTCTTAAATTCTTAATTGATCGCTTTCTTACCGGAATCCCCTCCCGGGCAACGACCCCAGGTTACTTGCAGCCCCGCTCCAATTGCATGTTCCTGCATAGACAATCTCAAGCATCATATCTCATTGTCGAGTCTCTCAAGGGCTTATCTTCCAGTACCATACAGCAATGCCAAACGAACTCAGGATTCGTGAGCAGCTAAAAATAGATGGGCCCAAAACCTGGCCCGTTGACAGGGTCGAGCGCTGCTAGGCTGCAAGGCGGGCTGGCGAGCTCCGTACCATCAACAAGAAACACTTGCAAGTGTAACTCCAATCACCAGCGCGAGATGGCTCAGCTGTTCCCGCTACGGCTTTATTCAACTAGGAATAATGTCAAATTCATCGCAACCATCTGTTATACCTCCACCGGAATCGTTTCTTCCTCCAAGAAAGTCGTCTTCCCGAAGCCCGTCATCACACTCATCCGGATCTAAACAAAAGCGGGATGCAAATGTCGCCTCAACTCGGTTCACGGAAGCAACGCAGAGCCGGCTCTTTTTGATGAGTGTTGGCTTTGTAATGCCAATACCCTATTAGACAACTGTCATGTTATTGGACAGAAAGACCGTGGGGTACGTACGAAGTATGAGCTAGAATAGAGTAGGCGTGCTAACTTTTAGAGAAGTAATTCTTCTTATACAGGCAGGCCGGTCTCCTTACCTTCGAATCCCTACCTGATATTCAAAACGCCTTGATGCTCTGTCCAACCTGCAACCGCGAATTCGACAATACACAATGTCCCGGTTTCATCTTCTTCACTTCGAACCTACAATTCTTTATAGACTTTGAGCGGCAGGACTACGAGCGCCGAAGCAACTGGGCGAGAGATGGCTATGATACCCCTACCCGCGCGTGTCCATCCGCAGAGCAGTACGAAAGCGATGCCATTAAGCGCTCTGACGAACAGCAGCCCGCGGAGTCGGATAAATTGGCTCCTCGTTTAGCAGATATGCACGCTCGCTCGCAACCACCAACTGGCAAGTTTGGTTTCCATGTCCAGACGTACCATAGGAAAATCGCCCAGGCCGTAAACAAATGGGACGATTCGTGGTGTGCTATGTTCTCACGACATCTCGGATACGTTATGGAACTGGCCGAGCGATATCTCAAATGACCCGAGTTTGAGGTGGTATGCGAGCTCACATTGACGAACGTCGTGCCTCGCCTCCTTCTCCCACTCCAGGCCGAAGGTAGAGTACTGAAGCCCTCGCTAATCCACGGTGACTGCTGAGATGGTAATTCTGCCATGGATGCTAAGACCAGGCATGCTTTATCTTTGATGCCTGCTCATTCTCTACGGTCACAATGAGTATGATATAGGAAGCTGGAGAGCACCGAGACATAGGCTTAACAAAGAAGCTTACATAAACTTATATACACGACATTTCCCTGTGTCGGAACCTGCGGAAGACTGGGATGCTCGTAATTGTCTCTACTCTTTTATCGGCTCCCAGCAACGTCAAGTGTAAGCAAAGAATAACTGGGAGATATGTGCCCGACTGATGACCATCTCGTAGGATCTACGATGATATGACGAACCTCTGCAAGATGTTCTGCCCGCAGGACTTGGAAGCAGAAATGCAGAAACTCAGTCAAAAGTCTGAGAGGTTACGTACTCTGGGAAGCCTATAGCTTCGTTCACGGTCTCAGGGTAGCGTTCGGCAAACTTGTCCCATTTTCGTCGGTCCTGGATTTTCCATAATTTGAAGTACTCTCCTTTGTTTTTGATCAATTCGTCATGCGTACCTCGCTCAACAATTTTTCCGTCCTTAAGGAAGAGAATCACATCTGCGTTAGTAATAGTGGACAGTCGATGAGCTACAACAAACATCGTTCGTCCGGGTCTAAGGATGTCAAAAGCTTTCTGGATCCGTGCCTCGGTCGAAGAGTCCATGGCACTTGTAGCCTCGTCGAGGATGACGATCTTCGGGTCCTTCACTAGCACTCGTGCGATTGCTAACCGCTGAAGTTCCCCACCTGAGAGTTTCACGCCTCTTTCACCGACTTTAGTGTTGTAGCCGTCAGGGAATGTCATGATATTGTCATGTATCGCGGCTCGTCTGCACGCTTCAAAAATTTGCTCGTCAGTTGCATCTGGTCTTGAGTATCGAATATTCTCCAAGATTGACTGATTGAATAGACAAGGATCCTGAGGAACAACACCCAGAGCATCCCGTAGGCTGTCGAGAGTAACATTGCGTAAGTCTTGATTGTCAATCAAGATAGATCCTCCAGTTGGATCATAGAAACGGCAGAGTAATTTGAGGATTGTCGACTTTCCGGCTCCTGTCTCACCAACAAAGGCAACCATTTTGCCTGGTATCGCCTCAAAGCTGATACTGTTGAGAATCTTCTTCCCTGATGAACTGTAGGAAAACTCGACGTTGCAGAACTCAACCTTCCCAAAATGCGCAATGAGGTCATCTGAACCAGGGAGATTCGAAATTGATGGTTGAGTACGGAGTAACTGCAAGAGGCGTTCTGCATCAATGAATATCGATGTAATGTTAGCATGAGACCATGCTATTATCTCAAGTGGGTAGGTCATCGTAGCCCAGAAGGTACCAAGGGTTACAAAGCTCCCAGCGGAAGCCTCTCCAGACGAGATCTTTCGAATGGCAAGAAGTGACGCGCTGAACAAACCCAGAAGCATGATCAGTGTTTCAACTGCATTGCCTGAGTTCATGCAGTCTCGGTACGCTCGTTTGGCATCCACTGAGTCTTGAACGGCCCTCATGTAACGTTGTTTCTCATGTGCAAAGCGATTGAAGTATGAGACTGTCTGCCAGTTTCTTAAAGACTCGTTAACAACGTTGCTCTCAGCCCGACATGTCTCTTTGTAGATTCGTCGCCGTGGTTGTGTCAAGTTGGTAAGCTTAATTGTAATACAAACGTATAAAATGCCAACAACAAGGGTTGCGAAGGCTACGTATACATCAAACAAAGATGTGATGTAGCAAACAGCTACGACAAGGTCAACGAAAACGGGAGGTATATCAAGAAACAACAGTTTTGCGAGATCGCCGATGGAATTGCCTTGTTCAACAGCTTTGATAACCTCTGCAGAGTCTTTGTCGCAGTGGAAATCCATGGACAGTGCCATAACATGCGTAAAGGCAAGCTGGCAGACTTCTCGGTATGAAAAGTTCTGAACTTCCATGAGAGCCTTGTTCTTAATCACTCCTAGGGGTCCAGAATTGTTCTTGAGCCAGGAAAAGAGCACCCAAATCGCGACTTCGTAGCAAGCACTATCGAATTTGTGAGCGATGAGCTTGTCCATAACGACACCAAACTGTCTAGGTGTCAAGACTCTGAGGAATCTATTGATGACAAGGTCGAGAATCAAAAAGGCCATGCAGAGTCTTCCTCGTACGTCTCCGGTTGGTAAGAGACACGGTAGAAAGACGCGGAATTCTTTGATGTATGCAAGCCAGCCTTGCTCTTCTAAGCGCTTGCGTTGGTACTTTCTGGCTATTGTATGGCCATTTTCTCTCTCAGTTGCGGTAGTTGTTGATGTTGTTATCCCATATCCGGCTTGTGCGGTTGGGTCGTTTTCCAGAAGCCGACGACTTTCCTCATTATTCTGAACTGGTTGCTCAACAGTTTGGAAGCTCGTTTGGAGTCCCAACATAATGCTGCAGAGGACCCTGAAAATTTGAATGGCCAACAGGGTGATGTTGTAGCGACTTTCTTGTGCATGGGAGAATGAAACAGCCGCTAGAATGGAAAAGATGCCTTCAAAGAGACAGCTGAGGATCCAGGGTCGATAATACCTGGGCCATAAGAGTTCGGACGTGCCCAGAGAATTCAGTTCCAGAGTGGTCCATACCAGGAATGACGCGATCGGATGCAAAACGACGTGCTTCGATGGCCACCATCCCTTCTGCGTTGCAGAACGGTATAGCATAATTATGACTTCCGTAACGTAGCTGAAAGCCATGAGGAACATAAGGCAAACAGCCGTGCATCTTGTCTGATATTCTTTTGGGGCATCGAAATGTCGCGTGAAAGGAACGAAATATGAAAGAAGAAGAAGAAAAGGGTGTAAATAATATAGTAGGACTTTCAAGGTCATTTCCGTAGAGCTTCCAATTGCTATCATTATAGTGACACTTTCTGCACGGCAGTGACGAGTCCAGCATGTCAAGATGTGAACGCCATGAGCTTTGTGGATACTTAAATCTTCAGGATCTTACTACCTTGAGAGTTGAGAATCAGGAACGCGCAGCAGATTAACGCAAGTAGCAGCGCTGTGCAGGCATAGTAGAACAGTATGACAGATTGGGTTCTGTACCGCCCTCCGCATTACACATTTTTCACCTTGTTCGTACTAGAGAGTGTTCTTATGCACAGGATCAGTCGTATTGTCACGTCTCGCATAATTTTAAACTTGGATTCACGTTGCAGTTGAGATTCTCGAGGGCTGACGGCGGAAGGCAACAAAAATTTTAAGACCGCACCGATATTTAGCCGAAATGACTAATTCTTTCTTGAACTAGGCTAAATCCATTACGTCTTAACGTGTGATGTGGCGTTCGAGTGGGTGTAAAAACCTCAAATCGGCAACTCAACTCAACACAACAACGAGCTCCATAGTTTAAGTTTATGTTTATATAATTCATCATCATAATGGGTGGTAGCAACACTAATGAGTTCGATTTCATTATCGTCGGAGGGGGCTGCATAGCGGCGTCTACTGTGTATGCAATCAAAAAGAAATGGCCAGCTGCACAAGTCTCATGGTATACCGGCGTTCACGAACACACTGCCTCGAACGATTTCCTTAAGATCATTCGCGATGCATATCCGGACAAAATAATGGCGGAATGGGCCCATCGAGCTATGCAGCTATGGGCGTCGGACGACTTGCTTTCAAAGTACTTTCACCGGACAGCGTGGATTCAAGCAATCGACAAGAAGACAACAAAGACAATGAGCAAGGGACAAAAAGATAAGACCGTAATGGCGAAAGAAATGATGGAGCAAGTAGGATCAACTATAGAGCCTTCTCTAGCCAGTACAGAGGAGCTCTATTTCAATCCCAATGTTGGCTATGCTGATTCGGATGTCGCCGTGCGAGCCATCTCCGACAAAGCTGTAGAGCTCGGCGTGCAGCGGCACAAGAGTAATGTGACAAGACTTGTTATCGAAGCAGGAAAGTGCGTTGGAGTTGAAGTTGGAGACGCCGTGTTGCGAGGAAAAACCACGATAATTTCCGCAGGCGCGTGGACACCAGGGATACTAGAGAAATCGAATATTGCTGTCCCCCCGGAATTCTTCCAAGTTACCGCTGTCGGTGTGGCGGTCCTTAAGCTGTCCGACTCAGAGTTCGACTCGCTGAAATCAATGCCTATACTGGTTACTAAAGATGGTAAGTTTATCCGGGTTGCCATAAATATTGCTTACCTTTATAAAGGAGAAGTCATGTTATCGGAATTGCACCGAGTTCTGAAAATAACAACAACGGATACTTTTAGAATTGCTTCCCCAGACGACCTGAGCGACGAAGTTGATATAACCCCCAACCAGCAAGTGCTGGAGAAGATGCTTCCTCAGTTCAGAGGCAGAGAGTTGAAACGCTTCTGCTGCCCGTAAGTGCTATCGTTCCAGTGTCCAGGTCTAGACTTACGCTTATAAGTGACCTTATTACTCCCAAACAATACCCTATTATAGATCGTGTTGATGGCATATCGAACCTCATCCTTGCAACAGGAGGATCATATCATTCGTACAAGTTCCTCGTGAACATTGGAAATCTTGTTGTCCTGTGCATTTGTGGAGAGGAGAGTAATGATCCTCTGGAGCGAACGATTCAAGCGCGTTGTAGATGGCAAAGATCTGATGATATCACATCAGTACATCCCAATATAGTTCCAATATAGTTCCAAAATACTGAACTACCTTGTTAGGTAACGCATATCGGTTTTCCGTTCATCTTAGAATCTATCATGTCCGCTAGTTCCTCCCACCAGTCCTCGCCCCATGTTCGCGAGCTAGACTTCCAATGCCATATCCACGTGAGAAGCGTACATAAACCGAGTACATTCTGTGCTAGTGAGATGAGTCTCTGCATGGTGATTTGTGGATCTTACCGATTTGTTGGATAGGCCAATTCTCTCGAAAATGCCGTAAAGTTTCGCAAAGTCTTCCACTTCCTCGGTGCAAATGCAAGCAATGATAAAGCAAAAGGCCGGATGGATACCCGAGTAGCCGTCCCCTTCTATTGGCAACGATTCGAGAAGACCTACCAGCAACTTTGTGTCCTCTTTGATGATGGGATCAGTTGGAGAGATCCTAAACCCGTATTAGTAGGTAAGACATATCATGAAAAAGGATCTCACTTGTAAAGTCTGCCACAAGCATAAAGCTTAGTGGCCAATTTGTATGCTTCCTTGGTCGTTGTTGCTACAGTTCTTACAAGGGGTTTTTGCATATCTTCTTCGCGTAAGAATTGTGGCGACTGGTCTATCTCCAAGAGGAAATCTAAATGGCAAGATGGAGTTTGCTGTGTCTTTGCTGCCTTCGTGATGATAGATTGGAAGTGCAGCATTTTTCGAGATAGACCAAGTATACTGTTGACGATATTGAGGTCGGGACAGTCCCGACCCAACCAATCATAATTAAATTTCTGAAAGACGTATTTGTCTTTCAGGGGGAGGACAGCCATGAGCCAAACTGAATGCGCAGCAATAACCACGTTCGTTTGCTGCCCCGGATAATGTTGGAGTTGATACAAGTACTGTGTCCAGTGATGTTTGTGGAGTTCGGGGTTGATTATTGCGTGATGTATGAGCAGCATAAGGGCAGCATCTCTCGACGGCCCGGGTTGCGGAAGAGATTCGAAAGCTTGAATCAAACAAAGGCGCTCAATTATCGCTACTTCTCTTCTCTCGGGACTGCTATCTGGCAAATACTCCTTGTAATAAGATGCTGAAAGGGCGAATATGGCTTGAAGGGTGCTTCGGTCAAACCTGGCAAATTGTAGCACCTGAAAATAGACATTATCGCTTAGAATGGTTCGACCACTGCAGATGGGAGATATATCTCCATGTTGTTAGTTAGGACAGGTCATTGGTAATAAATTCGCTTACAGAAATTTAACACTGCCTCTCTTACATCACTTATTCGGCCGCTAGGCATGACTTTGAATTTGATCAGACCCTCCTGTGATAATCTGATCGGCTGACCGCTGAGAGTCCACGTTATGGTGCTGAAAACGTGGATTGATCGTTGTAGTAAGGCGCCGGAACCTGGGTGGTCAAAATCTTCAATACAGCACGATGTGTGCTATTGAGTAACTTACGCTTTCCAATTTGATCCAAATAAAACAGCAGGGCCACCGCCAACTGCTCATACTTCTTTGACGCGTCGATCACTTCCTGGAGTAACCAGGAATCTTCCCAGCTACGTGAAAGATATTCAAGACTGCAAGTGATTAGGCAATGTTGATGAAGTACCAGGGTTGCCTTACTCATCGTAATTTAGAATGGGTGCAACGGTCAAAAGAAGCGCAGTGCTGATTTTCAAGAGCTTAGCTTCCACGCGTCCATGATTGATGCGTCTTTGAAACCTCTTCTGATAAGCTTTTCTCTTTTTCCCTGAGTTATTGAAGTCTGCATATATCTCGGCTAGCATGGCATTCCGGCAATTCAATTCCGAGTAGTTTGGGTTATTGCGCTTCGCTTCCCGCAAACGCTCATTCAGTCGACGCACCAAGTTGACACGATGCCATGGACCTCTCTCCCGTTTAATCTCTGGTTCTGCAGAGTCTAGGTTGTGAGAGGACCACTGCTCAGCAGAGGCGAAGTCAAAGCTTCCAAAGAAGAGGCACACATTTTCAAGCCAAGATGCTTGGTTCTGCTCAATCCTCTCGACTCTCTTCAGCCAATCTTTGTTGATTCTTTCCGTGAGATCTTGAAGGATAGATCGCTTGGATCTACCGTTTCCGCCCTGAGGGAATCGGAAAACGATCTTGTTTAAAGAGCCAGCGCGTGTCTCGAAGAAGCTCCACGAAGAGTCCTGGCCGAAACCGCTGTGCTTCTGAATGTTACCTGGTGAGTTGCTAGAATGTGTGATCACGAGTGCGATTGCGCCGTCTTCTCTTTGCTCACACGTTATCAAGACTCCAGGGCCGCCGATAACAACGCATTCGCTAAGGTCGGTCATTCCGTCGTTGAGATACCAGAACGCTGGCCTTGTTCGGGTGTTGAGTGTGACAACCGTGGTGTAGCTGAAGGACTTGGCCCGGACGATAATGACGATACAGTGGGTTGGTATACCAGTTCTAGGCCACAGCTTAGATAAACAGAGGAGATCATGTCGCTGCCAAAAGGCGAGAGCCTTGACCGGGACTTGACCCAGTCAACTGATATACCGGCAGATCAGGAATTAAGTTCTTTCTCCAGACCAATGGTATATCGCTTCCTCTGTTCCAATAAGCCTCCTTATTTGATATAGGTTAGCGCGGAGACAGCACCGTCTCCGCGCTAACCTATATCGTTGTTGCTGCATAGGCTTAAAGCCTTGGCCTTGGTAGTTTGAGCAAAGCTCACACCCCATGCTTCTGCCATGAATATTCACGTTGTCATTTCGCGAAAGCTCTATCCGCCAAAGGTGCTGGAAGCCTTTGGTGGCTATCACAATGTCGCCCCCCAACCAAGAAAGAAATATGTGAAAAATCACATATGACCAAGTTGTTGATCTTACAACTGGGTAGATAAAGACAAGCGGAGGAAATTTCTACTTTGGGCACTTGCTTGCTATATATCTATCCTTGATCTTGCATATGGCTGAGTCTTTTTGAGTGCCTTTTTGCTTCATTTGCGAACCGCACCCTCATCTGTCAGAACGTGCAGCAGTTGACTAGCCAGACCTAGACATTCGGCAGCGGCTCGCCAATGTCATTGTCTGGCTTGCAGAGCACATTGTTAAGCTCTAAAGGCTCTGAAACAACTTAGAGTAAATCTTTTTGAATCTGGGGAGACCAAGCGCACTCCCTAACTTTCAGCGATGCGGATCTCTGTCCCAGTAACGACCTTGAGGTACTATTCCTAGAAACTGCACCACCGCCTCTGAAGCCGCTGTTGCCAGCAATGTCTCTCTTGAAAATTAACAAACAAAAATACTCTATCGCCATTTCACTCTGATCTCTTTTCTTCTACCTTGCGCTCCCATAACCTCCTCTCGGATTATTGCGACACAATTATGACGGAGGAAGCACTGCAAATAGTCCATGGTCAAAGGGGTGACAAGGACAGAGACAGCGGTATCAGCGACATTGATTCGTCTCTAGAGAGCGACAACACTTCCGTGTCATCTAATACTAAAGACTATGTTGAGGAGAATGATAGGTTCTATCACGCTGACTGGTTTGATGGCCAATATATGCTTCCGAACGACGAACGGGAACAGCAAAGATTAAGCTTGACGTCGGAACCGGTACTGGAGAATGGGCGATTGCGTTTGCAGATGCACATCCCAACGCGTTGGTGACCGCAGTGGATATATCTCCTAACGTGATGCCGATATGGACGCCGCCCAATTGCAACTTCCTTGTCGACGACGCTGAGAATATCTTAGGAATGGGAAACAATGAGTTTCATTACGTCCATGTACGTCTACTCCATGGATTTCGCCGTCCAACTCACTTCATTAGACATATTTGGGAAGCTCTTCTACCTGGTGGCCATGTTGAGATCACGGAGTTTGAGTTCCCTTTGCAATTCCACGACCCAGAAACAGCAAGGAGCTCAGCACTCATGACCTGGTCAGCAAACGTGATAGAAGGGGCTTCAAGACTGGGCATTGATCTGACCATTACGAAAAATATCGCCACATTACTTAAAGACGGGGGGTTTGCAGATATCGAAGAGAGTGTTTCCGCTTTGCCTATTGGTGCATGGCCAAAGAAGAAAGAAAGAAAGGAACTTGGTGTCCGTCTACAGGAATACTGGATGGAAACATTGGCAGCTTTTGCTTGGAGACCACTCCGTGAAATGGGCTGGCACAAGGAGGAAATCCTGGGTTTGTTGGCTAAGATGCGAACTGAAATTTGTGGTCAAAATATTAGGGCATCCATGCATGTGCGCACCTTTTGCGCTAGAAAGCCATAGTTCGCTCGGTCCATTTTGCGTCCTGCCTGTATGAATGCAAATACCGCTTCATCAAGTGATCTTGTGTTGTCTAGAAGTAATTGTCAGTTCTGTACTAGACTATAAAGTGCATCACACAGCTACTTTATAGACGTTGTAACATGTTCATCCGGTGAGTCCCACTCCAGAATACCAGTCACATCTGCCATGCTAGCGAGGGCAATGATAACGTTTAGATCGAGCTCCAAAAATGTGTTTGGAAGATGGTTTCTGACCTTGCATCTTAGCTCAGGACAGCCAAGAGCGGGAGGATTCAGGTGACACGAGGTGTTTCTACTGGATCAATATGTGGCGCTGCAAATGGGCATCATGAAATCAAGTCATCGAAGAACACTGAAAATTGGGCAGCCTTGCAACGGCTGCTCCTAGTGGCACTCGTCACCAGATCACTTAATTATGACACTGCACCTTAGGGGTTACGTAGTAACCACAGCGTCGATTGAGTGAGTCACTGCTGTGCTGAGATCAGTGAAGAGGTCTTACCGCTCTTTACGCCCTGCCGACGTCTGCTAGACAAACTTTGATTCTGAAAATCACTTCAGTTGATCAATCCAGAGGCAAGGCTGAGGGCCCCTTTCCTGGAGCCACTGGAGCTAGCAAGCTACGGCCCGTCTTCAGAGCGCAACTTCCTTCCGCTTGGCATAGCGTACTATACTGACCAAGGCGCATCTTCCCCTCACTTGCGTGCTGCATGTAAGAACATCGAAAGCTCAAGTCCCACAAGCCTGCAGAGTCAGGGATTATCGGCAAAGGCCTGTTCCTCACGCTGTGCAGACCTGGCTCGACATGCACCATCCATCAAATCTTGCATTCGTAGACAAACAATAGCACCTTTACACATGGCAGAATACTCCTAGAGGCGAACTTTGTGAGCTGTAAACTCGCATACAAGTTACTTAAAATGATTATCGCCACCGAAATCTATCTTCATACCTGCATACCTCAACAAATCTTACTTCCTTTCATTTCTTCGCTTTTTCGTTGCAACAAATTCTTTATTAACAAGGACAAATCCAATCTATCGTAATGGATGCAATCTCGGAAATGAAGGCTAAATATCTGCGTAACTGTTGGGTTCCTGCAGGTGGCTCTCAATGGACAAAGAAGCTTTTTCGGGATCTTTATGAGTATAGCAGGTGTCCAACTAACCTCTTCGAAACAAGAACAGTATATTAACCCATTCTACGTCGCATTATCTACATAGCAAACTGACATTAATTAGTCTTTCGAGATGGTGTACTTCCTTGAAGATGGATCAAGTGCTGCTGGCATAATCAACGGACAAGAGAAAGTCATCTTGTCTAAAGAACAGATCCAGTCTGACCAAGTGATTGCTGCGGAACTCAAAGAGGCGGTTGCAAAGTGGAGGAGTGTTGATTGGCAAGCAATGATCGCAACGTGGGCTATTCTCTCAGCTCCGGTCTGGGTTGCTTATGTTAAGGGTTCATGAACTTTTGGATGATGAAGCAGAGAGATAGAGTGTGGGAGACAGCAGGGTTTGAGACAAGACTATTTTGGATCATGATGCGATGCTTCCTAGCAATTCAACATATCGATCGCATCATCCATCCCGACTAGCATTCGACCTTTTATGCGATGTCCCTGTCCTCGTCCTTCCTCCGGCTTTTTCTGTTTGCGTCTACACGAGCTGCATATAGCTGCACGGATTCGTGCCTAGCGGATAGGCCTCGTATCTTCTTAACCCGCAGTTCAACCAATGCTGGACCTGTATAAGGCCTACCCACACCCCAAGCATCAGCGTGCGGGCCTCCGTCAACGCTAATCGAGCAAAGTGGCATCAGCTCCAGTACACCCACCCTCAGACCACCCTACACCCTAGTATGCGCGCTTATTATGCCTACTAGACAACGTGTTCGAAAGTTTCAACACAAGATCAAGAGGGCCAAGCTGGGCATGAACTTGTTTCAATTTTGCAAGTGCTCTGACAATGTCTCCATATTGATGTTGATATCGGTTACAGGAAGATTGGTCATATCCTCTCCCAGTCTCAGGCATGTTTTTTATGTTTTAACGGATTTCCGTTCAGCGTTAAGCCCAGAATAAGTAATTAAACCGAGTTGGGATTCCGCGTACGTCGAAACTGTCCAGCTGTTGATTTGGTACATGATTGTGTGTGATAAAAAATGAGATTTCTCTTGTGAAAAAAACTGTGCTCGCATTCGCGGAAACTCAAAAATCGATCTTCAAAAAACCATCACGCATGAGCCTATATCTGAGCATTTCAAAGTCCCCATATCGCAGATCAAGCTGACCTTGATTGTAAATGTCATGTGAGCCATCTGGTCGAGCACCATGGGATTCGTTATACTGGCATACGCGAGGTTGCCCATCGTGTAGCTCAAACCTCCAGCCCGTCTGTCTCGTTGGCACACACCCCTTGAGATCAGAGGCGAAAAACATCACTGACATCTCGCGCAAAGAGAGCTCGATTAGATGCTGGTCTGTGCGAAGACTGCGGTCAAGAATTTGGAGACCAAGGATCTGAGACAGCTGGTTGGAGACGAGGTATTCAGTGATCTGAGGAAGAAAACCAGGCTTCACGCAGGAAAGGTCGGGCTTGTCCTTTCTCAGGTATTCATACGGGTGCCAACCTTCTGCTGTGAGTATAAAAACAGCTCCACCAGTCTCAGACCAGTCTGTGCCTTCGATTTCAGTAGCTGTTGTCCATCGGCAATACGGTTTGCTCCATGTAGAGCCCAACAGAACAGTGCCAACAGGTATATCGAAATGGCGATGTAGTAAATGCAGACCCAAGATGCCGTGTGCATTATTGCGCGTGAATATCTCTGCTATTTCATAAAGATGCTTGGACGAAATTCGTGACTGATTCGGTAGAGCTGATTCGAGAGGCAGCTGCCTAGTTCTAGATGTCCACGTCAGATCACTTTGCGGACGAAACATCGCGTTCAACTCACAGCATGCTGCTTTTCCACAGATCCTTCGTGCTTGGTTCCCATATTGCACAGACATCTGACATGAGGCCAGACATGGCTGCATAAGATCAATGTTCAGATTGGGGTGCAGCTTTCAATGACCTGGGCCGCGCTTTGATATGGCCACACCACACGCATAAGTCCGATGCTAGTTCTACACGAAAGCTGCTGTGGCAGCTGTGCATGCCAAGATGGCGCTAGCAGCATCACGTGACCGGTACAACATCACTAAAGCTTGCTCCTGAAGTCAGGATACCATTTTCCGCAAGAGATTCGGCAACGTTGTAATCCAGTGGGATTGTGCAAAATGCAGGTCCATATGTTGATCGTGGCACGGTAAGAGTGCAGTTCTTTAGGCGTAGGCTTACAATCCATGACCACAGCGCAAGATCAAGGCAGTAGTCAAGTCTAGGAGTCAATGCCACGCCCTGCGAAGCCTGAATCGGAAATTGAGGAACATCAGAATTTTGATCTGATGCGGCGGGGTGTCTTGAGGGGATGGGGAGGACGCAGTCATTTTGTGGTAAAGCCATCCAGCTAGCAAAGTCTCTGTCAAGCCAGACAGTGAGCTTGGGTTGTAGGTTGGTATCGCGAAAGATACTGAGATTCAGGCATTGCGGTATGATTCGATTCAAGCTCTCCCAGGCACGAGCTTTGAGCATGAGTACTTCCGCTTCTGGCCAAGCGACATGATTGCTTTGCGCGAAACTAACATCGATCATGCTTATCTCGTTATTGCCGTGGCTACTATTTTGATCAGTCAACTGCATTGGCAGGTGTATATTGCGCTCCTGGTTGTGCTGTTGATCCAAATGTTGATCATCGCAACATCTCTGGATCCATCGGGGAGGATCAAACACAGCCGCGAGCTTTACACGCTCATCCGGTCGAGCAGCACCACCATCTCTTAGATGGGGAGGTAACGCTCGTTGTGTATTTGCAGGAATAATCACCTCCGACCAGAATGGCATCAAAAGTAAATGCTCTACGTCATGAGCTAGCCGGGCTGCTCCCGTTTCTTTCGTCTTTTCAAGGATGCCATATTCGGAGAGGAGTTCTGCAAGTTGTTCGGCGTTGTCTTTTTTAAGGTATTTCCACCAACTGATCCACGTTAATGATTCGTCTGACATGTTTTTTTCAAGGCCTCACATTGATTCTGCAACTTCAGGAAGGTAAAAATAGCAACCGATGCAGCCTAATTTCAGAGCAATACACCAGTATTTCGACCCTTCTTTGGCCCATGCCATGATGTTCTCACGGATCTCATCAGGCGGACTACCTGATGATCGGTGGATACTTGCAACTAGAAAGTCCATAACTTCTGACCTGGTGCTAAACCTCTTCGACTTGTGCAATGCAGACACCAATTTGTGATAGATTGTTGCCACAAAACGCCATAAAATCTTTCGCGACGAGATAGAAGTCCTTACCGTAAGTGCGTAGCGATAGTGCTCACCAGGTTCCATTGGAGTTGTTAGGTGACCGTAACTCGTGAAAATTGCAGGCTGGTTTTTCCATGTTTCGAAAAGACTAGCGACATCTGCTGGCAGTTTGATGTCATCCTTACGAATCCGCTGTAAAGAATCGAGTCTGTTTGCGCTCTTCTTAGACTTTTGTCGAGCATCCAATGGAGCGAAAAGACATTGAAGATTTTGACGAGTGTTCGCACTTAATTCTTGGACTTTTCGATGGCATTCTGCCATTAACTGCACAAATTGTCAGTACGTCCTGCTTCATTTCGTTTCTGCAATACCATACTTGGTTATCATCCAGCAACTCATCTAAATTCTGGTGTTCTAAGCGTGTCCGTACGAGTGTACTAATCTCAGCACCCATTATTTAGTTTAGGCAACACTGGTGAACGGCCAGATTTGCCTTATTAAAGTGATGTGATGATGCTTACAGATTAGATAAACTACTGCGCTAGGCAGGAACTGTAAAGTAGAAGGAACATGTTCCTTCTATTTTACGCTTCCTGCCTAGCGCGACAGGGGCTCAACTTGTGGCTTGGGCCTTGCTGCCTCGGATCCCCATCCGAACAGCCCAAGCCAACCAGTGTGCTCCTTGAGGACGCGAATGTCCGACAGCACAAAATACGGTCAAACGATTGGGCATTTGGCAACTTACGGTCTCGCTCGGCTCTGCAGGAGCACATATGTACGTTCCACGCATCACTGATCCCGCATTAACGTATCCACAAATATCAGTTGATGTAGAATCGAAGTGTTAGTTAGCATTCGTCCTGCTGATTAGCCATGTTCAATTTTCGGTAGCCGAGCCTTGATTTCAATCGCTCGTAAAGTCGCGCAAGTATAGCCGCCTCTTTCGCGGCGCCTCGCTTCTATGGAGGAACCATCACTGCATAATCTCTCATCGTGAAGAGGATGATCTACTTTGGTCCGGTAATGTCGCCCGTGACGCGACGCTGCCCCAAGTGCATACGAATTACGTCCTCTTCAATAGCACAAGTTACACTTATGCCTACCAGTCCATGCCCGATGCCAGCTCTGTCTTTGGTGCGTGTCGATCAAGAGTTGGGAACCTCGCTTATTAACTATCAAGTCACACTAGCGGCGGGATATTCCACATCATATCATCCTCTCCGTCTTCTTTTTGGCCGGCGAACCTTGGCCGCGGACGGCAAAGCTTGCAATTGATCGCCTTCTTGGATCACATCTTGCGGGTCAATTAGTGGTGGATGAAGACTATCGACGGAAGACCCTGGTATCGGGCTCGGCTTAAAATGGCCGGCTGTATATTTGAGGTGGTCACTGCATTCCTACAAATGTCCCTGGCTCGCAGCAGAGCATAGCAGGGCGAATCTTTATCCTCGCTCTTCACCGCCCAGTTTGACTAGCATGTACGTGTGCCTGACCATAGCCGTTCATGCAGTCCGCTCCTGGCTACGGCCATCTTTGCACATTCCGCGTCCGAATGAGGACAGGATCTCTCAGCCTGCGGCGCGAGACCACCTGCAACGGGAGCCGCCTTCAGGTTGCACTCGCGTGGACGTCCCTTGCCGCATGAAGGGAAGCCATACCCATCTCGCGAGGATACTCGTGTTGAAGGAGGAAGAAGTGTGCCAGTATATGTCTCATTACGGTAGAAGCGGGGTGTATGACGACTCTGCGTCAGTCATGTCTGCACGTGCAGGGTTTCAGATGTTTGCGAGTATGGTGTTGTGGTTTTTGGGAGGTGATGCACTAAAGCAGCTTGACGAGCGGCCTACTCGGTTCAGGGCGCGCCTCAAGAACGCATTTCTTAAAATTGACCCAAACATTGGCACTGCACTGGCGGGCATGGCCTATGCGGTAGGCAAACTGGAAAGGGACGCACCGGACTTCTGCGTCGTATACTACTTGCTGCTGCTTGAGGCAGCCATGCATAACCTGTTCAAACAAGGTTTAGAAGATGATATGATCACAGTGATTCAGGAGTCAGCCTCGTTTCAGACTGTGGACTATATGTTGTGTGAGCAATTGAAGAGATCGGGCGTGCGATACGACGGAGATCTGAAAAGGGACTTGGAGATCGGGCTGGTGAGTGCATATAACAACTCAATCTCGCTGTTTGCTGACCGGTTTAGATTAGGGCAAAGGGTGTCGCGGCCTTTTTACGAACGTGGGAGTCTGCGTCCAACACTGCAGTTCTTACATCCTTTTGATCGGTGGATGTCTCAGCACCAGGGACAGTCATTTTTACTTCAACATATCAACTTTGCACCTCCTTCACTATTCTCCCTGTTCTTCATTGAGCCTGCTTTATCACGGCAGGTAGCCGCCTGGCCGGTTTCAACACCTGCAAGCCACCATACTTAGGAGGACAGTCTTGCTCTTGTGTGGAGGCCACCCGTGTCGTGCAGATGGTCGGAATGGACAAGCACCGGCTACGGTGAAGCATGGCTGCCACAGATCTGCGCAGTTCGGGTTCGTCATATTTGACAACGAAGCGCCTTGCGGCGTAGCGGCGTGCATGAACTGTTGACGTGGCTGGCATTACGCAGGCTGTGTCAAGGCTCCTGTTCAACGAAGGCGGTTCGGTTGCATTCTATAAAGCTGGTCCTCCGTGAAATCCAGCGGACAAGCAAAGAACCGCCCCGTGGGAAATTCTCCAGAGGTAAGTGAGATCACCATGTCGCGAAAATATGCTTACAGCTGTCCAGCTTGAAGCCAAGTCCTCCATCATCATTATCCAAATGAGCGAGTGGAGTTCATCCGATCACCCAGCTGGCCAATACGGGTCTAGATTGCCCAACGAGAATGAGTCTAATGGGCTGGCAAATCGACTTAATTCCACAGCTGCTGTCGTTCTTACGACGACACGCATGACAGCTCGCACTTCTCACCCGAGTCGCCGTCCCAAGCTTTCTCTTGACACTACAACACTGCCGGCTGTGCAGCCTGAAACCAAAAAGATTGAAAACCCCCTGGTGCTCCAGTCCAAGCATGGAGCCGACGAAATCACAACTGGGGATGCAGAAGACTGGCTGAAAAGCTGGCGTGATGTTTCGGCTAGCCAGCATACCCAAAAGCAGCCAGCTGTCAGCACGACACATGCGAACATACCTGCCGAGCCCGCCATATGCAGCACAGTCTTCTTCGTAAGTGGAAAAAACCATGCTGTTTACCAAATCAATGCGAATAGCTTTGAGGTATGTCTGAATCACCGCATCATACGACCGCGAAATCGAATCTAATATTCGACACACACTAGAGCTTTTCACGCGAGTTGGCAAATAAAACGAGCAAATACAAGTCGCGGTATAAAAACAACGCACGACTCGTGGTATCGCATGTGAAAACCGGTCACCTAAAGCCTTGGACTTGTGCAGTTGACGACGACAAAAAATTTGTGGAAGCTTATGAGAGCACGATAGGTAGCCCCGTTTTTGTGGCGTCTTATGACGATAGTGTTGGGATCTTCTCACGTTCCTCGTCACCTTCTCCGCGTCCATTATCACCACCTCTTACGGGAGGTTTTCACGAGGTCCAAACAGCGACCAGATCATCCCTCGGCTCATCTTCGGGGGCTGACGTTTCCGACGATGAAGATTGATTTATAAGGTAGATTAGGAGCTATCTGGGCATCATCACAGAGTGTTCTCTCGTGCGCCATTATTCCCCCTACTCCTGCTTCAATTTTTTCTGATTAGTATTGTGATACTTTTCCGCCGCAGCCAAGATCCCAATCTCACACAGCCGGTACTAGTTTGTGCGCCCCTCCAGCGGAGCGATCTATAGTCTATAATATTCATTACTAGCACATTATTCATATGCCTTTGCTCTTCATATTTGAAAGTGGACATCTGGCGCCCTGTGAAGTACTCGTTGAAGTGGCCTTCCATTGCCTCTCTAGACCAAGAGCCGCGAACCTCCAGCGCCTACCACTCACTATAGAACTTTTGGATAGCTGCGGAAAGTCCTTCAGATCCATTCCTCTTACCACGAACTTGTAGATGTCGTTGTCGTTGTAGTGACGTTCGCACTCCGCCCTAGAAACCCCGAACCTGTCCCGCCTAAGCTGGTGACGCGCGAAATAGACCCGCAGAAGTTTTGGTGTTTCTTCTTGAGTTCACGTTCTGGGCTGCAGACCTGGCATTGGGTGAAAGAGCGCATTCAAAGCTACTAATCCCAACAGTCAGACGGGCGGTCTGTGATAAGGGGGGAACAACTCACTTGCCCGCCGTCCGTTCTTCACTAGAGGGATGTGTGTGTCAGAAGTCAGGGCACTATCGAAACTCTCGACAGTTGTTGGTGATGGCTGCATCCCCGCGGTGTGCGTCAAATGCAACCTGCATATAATCGCATGATTACGCACTATTGGCGATCACTACTAACTTAGTTCATCTAGTGGTTAGTTTGAATACTTTCTCTCTCCTGAAGCTCATACTATCCCAAGTCATAATCTTGAACTATCTTATTGTTCCTTCTCTCTCAATAAGCCCTAGTTTTCTGTTGTTCCCCTTGCTCTAGGAAGCCCACCCCTTCCGAAGTGGCTTACGATAGTGAAGCTAGTCGGTATTGGGAAAGTATTGAAAACTAGGGCTTATTGAGAGAGGAGGAACAATAAGATAGTTCAAGTTTATGACTTGGGATAGTATGAGCTTCAGGAGAGAGAAAGTATTCAAACTAACTACTAGATGAACTAGACAGTTAAACTACAGTGAGCGGAGAGAGGAAATTCATCCTCTTCTTATAGACATAAAATTTAGTTCCTTGTTGCCTTGCTCATTTTTCCAATATGGGCAAAATGATCACTTCCTCCAATAAAGAGTAACTAGGTTTGTTATGATTGGTCAGAGCGCTCATTCTGCTCATTCTTGCAGAATGATCAGAATGATCACTCACGTGATGAGTCACGTGTTACTTTGTAACTGTCGCACTGTGGCACTAGCGATGCTAGGCAGTACCGAACGAAAAGCACAACAACAGCGAGAACTCTCACCTTTGGAATAAAGAGCTCAATTGTGTTCACATACATCTCCTGAAGACCGGAAACTGCTTTCTCGGAAGCCGCACCGCCCAGCGCGGCCGTAAGACATTGCGACGCCCTGGTCCCAGGAGGTAACCGGGCCAACCAACCTCCGAGAGCGTGTCCTAGAAATCACGAAGCAGCTCAGCGATACATTGCAAGTTGTAGAAAGAGAGAAAGAGATCAATAGAAAGCAACTAAGCAAAGCCCTCAAGAGCGCGTTACTCGCGCTCGCCAAAATCAAGGACACCCCTGACGTAGCCTCCCTAGAAGAGAAGGTAGATCGACTGCGCATAGAGACAGTGAAAGGATGGAAAAGCATGGATGAAGCCTTCCAACACCTCCGAGAAGACATAGAGGCAACAAAGGTAAATACACAAGCAGCAGCAACAGCGGGTAAAGAAGCGAAGACAGCGGCGATTGAGGCACTCGACATAGGCAGGATGGTACTCAGAAACAAAGGGACACACCAGCAGCAGGCTATGGCAAGCTATGCCGCCGTGGCAGCGAAAGGAGCAACGGCAACAAGTACATATAGTCCACAAAACACCAGACCTCCTGCTCAAACGCATCGTGAGATCATCGTGAATATTAGAAATGCATAAACGATCCACCACCTGCGTTCCATGAACCCACGTAACCTGAAAGCCCATGTCGAACAAGCCATAGCCCAAGGCGGAGTAACTAACGCAAAGGTCATGTCTGTAAACCAACTCATGAGCGGAGACATCAGCATAAAAACGGTTACACCGGGCGAAGCACAGACACTCAGACAGTCCGCCCAGGAATGGGTCCCTAGGATAGGGAACGGAATGTCAATACGCAGCCAGACGTACGGTGTGCTCGTACACAGCGTATATACCAAAGACGTGGATATGGACAGACTGGACGAAATCAACGCCGCTATCTTGAGTGAAAACAAACCCTTTATCCTAACAGCAGAAATCAAATACATCGGATGGCTCAGTCGGAAGGCACAGACCAAGAGGATGTCCACGCTGGTAATCGAGTTTACTAAGCCGGAGGATACGAATAAGATCATTGATGA